AGCGGCAGTTCTGTGGGCGGAAATGCCTTGTTGATGCCAGAGGTGAGAGGAGAATGGCCAGACTGGTTCGAGCTGATAGAAAGGAAACAGTGACTCAAATAACCACCCGTTACAACCAAGGTAGGCAGAAGAGCATCTCTGAACGCACAGTACGTCGAACTTTGAGGCAGATGGGCTACAGCAGCAGAAGACCACGCCGGGTGCCACTCCTTTCAGCTAAGAACAGGAAACTGAGGCTACAATTTGCACAAGCTCATCGAAATTGGACAATAGAAGATTGGAAAAAGGTTGCCTGCTCTGATGAGTCTCGATTTCTGCTGCAACATTTGGATGGTAGGGTCAGAATTTGGCGTCAACAACATGAAAGCATGGATCCATCCTGCCTTGTATCAACGGTTCAGGCTGGTGGTGGTGGTGTAATGGTGTGGGGAATATTTTCTTGGCACTCTTTGGGCCCCTTGGTACCAATTGAGCATCGTTGCAACACCACAACCTAACTGAGTATTGTTGCTGAATCTATCCATCCCTTTATGACCACAATGTACCCAACTTCTGATGGCTACTTTCAGCAGGATAATGCGCCATGTCATAAAGGTGGAATCATCTCAGACTGGTTTCTTGAACATGACAATGAGTTCACTGTACTCAAATGGCCTCCACTGTCACCAGATATCAATCTCTCTCTCTCTCTCTCTCTCTCTCTCTCTCTCTCTCTCTCTCTCTCTCTCTCTCTCTCTCTCTCTCTATATATATATGCACTTCACAGTGCAGAGGTACCGGGTTTAATTCCAGCTCCGGCCTCCCTTTGTGGAGGTCCGTAGGTGTGAGTGTGAGCACGGATGGTTGTCCATCTCTGTGTGCCCTGCGATTGGCTGGCAACGGGTTCAGGGTGTCCCCCGCCTACTGCCCGAAGACAGCTGGGATAGGCTCCAGTGCTCCCCGCAACCCTTGTGAGGATAAAGCGGATCAGAAAATGAATGGATGAATCTGTATTTGTGTGTGTGTGTGTGTGTGTGTGTGTGTGTGTGTGTGTGTGTGTGTGTGTGTGTGTGTGTGTGTGTGTGTACGTGAAACGTGTATGTGTGTGTGTGTCTGTGTGTGTGTGTACGTGAAGCTAATAACTCATCCTTTAGAAGGAGAGCGTGCTGCACTGTTCACCTAATTCAGAGCGCCACCTGATGGACAAATATCTCATAGTTCACATGACTGAATGGGATGATGTAACCAAATGGGGATCTTTTTGATTGATCTGTTGAAAGGCAGGCCACTCAACCGCTACTAATAACAGTCCTGTATTTGAATCCTTCCCCCCCTCCCAACCCCACAAACACACACACACGCGCAATAAAATACAATCATCTTTATTTCTACAGCACTTACACAATAGCTACAAAAATTTAACATAAAATAACCATCTTAGCAGATCAACCATAGCAGAACACATCAAAGAAAGACAATAATACGATCGGAACAACTCTTCCCACGTACGCTCTTTTATTTGAAGTGTTTCTAGATGGAAGAGGAGAGAATCAAACTATTCTTTCATCCGACACAATCCTTTTGCAGAAAAGACACGAGAGGCATTTTCATTTGTTGTCAAAACAACTGAAAATTGCTGGCCCTCACAGTGATATCATTTTAAATTAACTTGGTATCGGTTTTAATCACAACTTATATTGAATTAAATGCATTGAAACATAATAAATACAATTCATTTTTCATATTTTTATTCATAGTAATAGAGCAAAATGTCATCACTTCCCAACAAAAAGCATGTTCCTCCAAAATGTTTTTTTTTTTTTAATCACATGCAAAAACACACGATAAAAATGTTTAATTTAAGGTAAAGAATACATTTTAAAGTTTTGCCATACAGACCAATCGTAGACAATGACAATACAGTATATATTTTAATATATCTTACTGATTTTGAGACACTGTACTGTTGAGCATCTCGGGTCCAACAGTAGAATCAAGGTACTGAAGTCTGTATTCTGCTCATATTTCATCATGCTGTATAACTTTCCCATGCCCGCAGTGTAGCTTGTAACAATCATCACCTAGAATTGGAATACTCCCTGCTGAAGACGCACAAACATTGGAATGCGCTAGTTGATACAAGCTGAGAATCGGTTGAGGAGAAACGAAAGTTATGATATCACACTTTGTCTCTCAGTACCGCCCTTCTGATGGTATAAAAATGATGTGAATCTCTTCCTGCTTCGCACTCGTGACGCGCAGCCATTGTCTGTAATTCGCGGGTGCCCGGAATATTCTGTTATTAAAAGCTTCGAAGGAACTGTTCATCGACTCCAGCCTTTATTTGAAGAACCAACATTCTCCTCGTCCGAAATTCAACGAACACGCGGGGAAGAGGAAGGCCGCTCTTCCCCCAACAGTACATACAGTACCATTTTTTAAAAAATGTATTTTAACATATTATCAACAGTATGCTTGGAGACAGACAATTCACTTCAATCAATTAACATTTCAACATGAAATTGGAAAACAAATATGTTTGGATTAGACTACAGTTTTGAATTAGAGGGTTTTGACAAATATAATCACTGTCTAGTTATAATATTGACCTAAATTACCGGTAACTGTGATTGACAATTGTATTTTATATTCCATATTTATTTCATTGTGTGTATGAAATGAAAAGCGCATGTGAGTATTGTTTTGCAGTCCTGGTTTGGTTGGGGTTAGGGGGGAGGGGGCACATGCCCTCCAGGCTCACTGCAGGATTAAGGTCATCTGGGACACCTTTTTGTCTGAAGCTAGCTGGCATTTTGCCTGCACTAAAAGTCCTGTTTAGGCTGCGTGATGGAGCCTCCTGTGGTGCATCGATCCCTCAATAGTCAATACACGAATCCAGCAGTTGACAAGTTAGCCACGCCCCGTGCCTCCACCACTTTTATTTTACATTATGGTTCTGTTCGCAGATTCTTCATAGGATCCCATCACCAAGGACAAAGCAATGTGACCTTAATGACGGGCATACCATTCCCACAGTCATGCCTGGCAACATCGCAGTCAGACAACTAAATAACACACAGTAGCTTCCAATTAATATCAAATACGATACTAACACTAAACCGAGTCTTTCCGTTCCAATTTATGAAGAGACGCCTACGTTTGTAGGAAGTCCGTACCTGGCGAACTCACAAGACTGTACTTTGCATTCTTGATATTGAGAAATGGCTACCCTTTATCATGACAAGGAAGTACGTCACAGCTGGAGGGAATGTAGCTCACAAGTACACAACCATTGCAATTACAAAGACATTACCGTCCGAAAGAAGTGTGCTATTTGGAAGAATGTACTTTCCCAGTTTACAAGACCGTACTCTGCGTTCTTGATGTTGAGAAACGGCTTCAAACTAGCTAGCTTGCTATCTCTCCATCTAGTTAGCTAGCTTGCTATCTCACTGGCTAGTTTGCTACCCAACATGCTTTCTGTCTGTCTGTCTTTCTTTCTCTGTCTGTCTTGCTGTCTGTCTCTCTGTCTGTCTGTCTCTCTCTGTATCTCTCTCTAACTGCAGTTAACACGCATTAAAATGAAATTTAGAATTGATTTTAAGACTCGTGAAGAGTGAAAAAATACATCTAATTTTGGCTAAATGGGGAGGATATAACAATAGAACACCAATTTTCACAGCATTATGAAGTCATAGAAAGCTGCCTCTTTAAAACCTAAATGGGATGGAACCCTATTTGTTTTGAGACATGTTCACGATAGCCTTGAAAATCTCCTGAGCCCATTTATAGTGTCATTTCCATACAGACTCCGTAGTCCAGTCTTGTTGCAGTTGTCTTCATTAAGGCCACTCTAGCTCTCCTCTGGGAAACAGTCAGGTTATTCATTATGGCGGCTTTGTTTGGGGGCTTGCTCTTGAATTTTTTTTTTCTTTTTCTTTCTTTTTTTTTTTTTTTCACACTGCCCACCTTTCGTCTATCAAGATTTTATTTAATTACCACAACCGACTTCTATCAAAATTGGTGCTGCATGGTCTGTCTCCAACTGGGCATGGCACATTTTAAAACCCTAAATATTGCACATTTGCATTTGATTGGACTGATGGTTTAAGTGGTCGATGGTTCAGAGGAATGCAGTAACAGTTCTACTGTTCTAGACGTGAGATAAAACAATGTATGTCAGATTTTTGCTCCCAAGCCAAAGCAAAAAAAAAAAAAAATGTCTGAATGACGACTCATATCGCAAGGTACAGCCTTAAAGATGGATTCATCAAACAGGTACGCACAAAAAGCCATGCAAAGGACATTCGAGTGACAAACTGGTCCAGCGTGTCCTTGGGGATGCGCTGCGAAATGTGTCAATCATGGCAGATGGCTTTATGTAAATGTTACCAAAACGCAATGTGATGATAAGCAATCCTGATTGACATATTCAGTTTCAATAAACCCGAGTTTTGCGTAAATTGAAATGAGCAGTGCCTGCGCAAATCAAATTATCCCTCCATTAGTTTGGTAAACACTGTCATCAGAAAAGTAATTACTCTTTCCAAAAAAAAAAAAAAACAGGAAGCCCCATAAATGGATTATGAAACTTGATTGACTGCCACTAGCTGAGCAAATTGAAGCCTTGATTGTATTTGGCAGATAGTCTCAGTGGTAGCCTGCTGTGATTAAAGCACTAATGTCTAGAGAGAGAAATATAAAGAACGCTTTAAAAATTCCAGATACCGTATGCGCATTGTTGCGTGTACCATTAAAAGATGAATATCGATTGCTGATAGCACCTCTCACCCCACCACTAAAAAAAAAAAAAAAATCAAAATCAAAGCCGTCGCTATGGCAACGCCCCTGCCAGATTCCACCAATCAATGGACTCGGCCGAGGTTTGCGAGATGCGCCAGCGAAAGGCAGGCGTCCTACATAAAGCGTGCGGGACGGGGAGCCAGGCGGCTCACGCACACACACACACACACACACAGGGGGCATCACACCTCTGTGCAAACAACACCGCAGTGAGAAGACAATTGAGGAAGCGAGATGATGCCCTCCCGTGATCTAGGCTTGTTTCTTGGGGTCTCTTGGACCAGTCTGCTCCTCTTCAGCCACTTTATAGCAGTTAGAGGAGGTAAGAGGACTTTATTTTTACGAAACTTTGCCATATTCTGCATTGTTTAGGGATGCCGTGTTGCTCTGTCTCCGTCCAGCCTCCCCCAAAGTGTCAGTGGGTAGTAGGGCAAGGCTTGAGTACCCAGCCCTGAGGCAGGGGACTGATGGATAGCTTGTCTATTCCACTCACGCTGCCCGCATACAAGACACGCGAGTCCATTTGCTGGCTGGCTTTGTGCCGACCCAACAATACATTAAGGAGGCTGAGGAGGAAGGAAAGAAAATGAGGACACTTTTTATTGATTTTTGACCAAACAAATCCACAATGGTTTCCTCGAAAAGTTCATCATGAGGGTATGATTTTGAAGTATGAAGGAGGTCTGTCAGTTTCTGTTTGAGTAAGAATAATTTCATGGAGGTTGTGGCACAACAGAGCTATTTTGCGTTGGAAGAATTGGAGTCGATTGCAATGTGTAATGTGTAGCCATCAACTTCAAGGTTTCTTTTCATTCAAGAAATGTGTCTTGTTTTAAGGGGCAGCTGCAAATATCAAGACAAAAAGTAGTATATTGGATCTTTGGCCAGATTTTACTACCGTGGTGCCTTGAGATAAATGGAGGGTCGACATCACAGTGTAGTAGAATGCAATTTTCATTTGGTAGAATTTAGTGTTGTGAACACTAAAAAACACTGAAAAGCAAAGTTTCTAGTGGTCTTCATCTAGTTCATTTTCATCTCTATCAATAAAACCAAAACATTTAGATATAAAATAAATCTGGTATTGTTTATTGCAATCGAGATGAATTTATTGCTTGTGTTGGTTCGGAAATACATGCAAGAAGGACCTTGAAAAGAAAATTCCATATTGAATTGCAACAGCGAAGGAAAAAAAATTGCAATTGGATTATCTTTCAAAATCATTTAGCCCCGAACGCGAGTGACCCATATTATGAGCCGTCTTTTTTTTTTTAGCTCAAACTTGACGTATGAGAGCTACGTGGTGGCCGTGAACTCAACTCTAATAGGGAACGGTTGCTCCAAAAAGAGGCCTCAAGCACTTTATTGCCACTCCCGGTTGAAATTTACTGTCGAACTAAACATTAAATGAAGAGAATTACTCCTTGTGTATTTAAAACAAGCACATGGCTTCTTCTTTAGTCCACTAGCCTCATGCTAATGCTAGCACAAAATGGAAAACACGTTTATAACCCTTCAAGCAACTGATGTTTGAGCACAAATGGTATAGAATCACATTCAGACATTAACTAAAACAGTACTCGCAGTCATATATTCTTTATCCTTTGCGAGGAGCTGAGCTGTCTGGACTGAACAGACTGACTTAGTTAGTTCCCCATACGGTATATCCCTTTCGTTTGTCTTTTACTGCCCCCAGGTGGCCAAGGCCGTCAGCGGCACAGCGGCCTCTGAACCGATGTGGCCAAATACGCTTTCATTCTATATTATTCTATGTAGTCATGTCCAAGTACAATGAGCATTTTCTCTTTAGAAAAACTCATTCAATTTTCATAGCCGAATGAGAGACTTCTCATCTCACAGTTACTTGTAAAAAAAGAAAAAGAAAAAAAAGGTGGGTTAAAGTAGAAGTGATGATGAATATGATCTGCTCACAAAACAGACAATAACAAAGTATTGTATTTCTACTTTATTACTTCCCGCCACTTGTGTGTCCACAGCTCCAATGAAGCTGGACGTGCCCCCGGACACGGGCGCCACCGTCCTGAATCACTCCATGAGCCTGGTGCAGCGTATGGAGGGCTTGCTGGCGGCGGGCAACGGCAGCGACATCACCCTCCGCGTGCACACTGTCGGCACGGACGAGGTGAAGGTGATCCAGGCCCACAGCCTGTTGCTCGCCATGCAGAGTGACGTGTTTGAGGAGCTGCTGCTCAGCCGCAACGGCAGCACCCTGGTGCTGCGGGAGCCGTCCGACTGCGCCGCCGTCTTTGACAAGTTCATCAGGTGAGGACGACTGCGTCAAAGGCAAGGTTCACATGTTGGTGTGAATGTGCCTGATGATGGTTTATGAGGGACTGGCTAATGAAACGACTTTATGGTTGCTCGAATTATTGGCAAAGATGTGCGCTTTTGGCGTTGACATTGGCTAGCAGGCTTCTCATTATGTTTTGCTAAATTACTCAGACAACCCGATCAAACATTTTATACACACCGGTGAATAAAAATCAAAAACTCTAAAGGGAATATATGGCGGCATCATGCCAAACACAACCTTTTTTTTTTTTGTCATTTTCATGTCAAGTCAGTGCTAGTCAATCACTTTATGCCACCCGACACAGTTAAAAGAGCGCTGATGGTTTTCATCATGGGACATTTGGAAGCGCATAGCAAGCTGAAAATGAAGTTTGAAGGGATGGATTTGGAAGTGTTAGTCAAAGACAAACATTTTACCGAGTTGCTGAATTTTGGTAAAGCCAGCAACTGCATTAAAGCTGTCAGTTAAAATGTTCAAATTGGGTATGCATGCACCCAGCTTCAGAAAGTCCACAGCATTTATATGTTTATTTATTTACATTCCCGTGCGTTTGAGACTCGCAGTCTAAAACAGGCAAGTGTGGGCTTCTGCGTGACTCAGTTGGGAAGCTTCAGTGTAGACGTTTTTCAATCATTTTTCCACTGTATGTGTTTATGCAGGTACTTGTACTGTGGAGACGTGTCTGTGCGTCTTGACCAGGCTATTTCTCTGCACAAGCTGGCCAGCAAGTACCACGTGTGGAGCTTGCAGCAGGGCCTGACCCAATACATGACCCAGCACTTGTCGAGCGAGTCCCCCACTGGCCATGTAGTCGGTTGGTACAACTATGCGCTGCAAACGGGGGACCTGGCCCTGCGGGACAGCTGCCTGCAGTACCTCTCGTGGAATTTGTCCTCGGTGCTGCAGAGTCAAGAATGGGGCTCCATCAGTGAGGAGCTGCTCCTCTCTTTGCTCCAGCGCTCGGATCTCATCCTGCAGACTGAGCTGGAGCTCTACGAAGCCCTGGAGGCATGGATCGACCAGAACCAGCCTGTTGGCAAGACAACGGAGTCGGCTCTGAGGTTGGTTCGCTACGGCATGATCCCTCCTCAGTATCTCTTCCGTCTGCAGAAGCAGTCACCCCTCATGCAGAGGTACTATGAGTCCGTCCGGGATCTTCTCTACCTGGCCTTCCAGTTCCACTCCGCGTCTCCCATCACTTTGGCCAAATACTTTGACGTCAACTGCAGTATCTTCACGCCCCGAAACTACCTGTCCTCCTCCTGGGGCTCCCCTTGGATCATCAACAGCCCGACGCGTGACGACCGCAGTTTCACCTTCCAGACGCAGCTGGGCCCTAGCGGTCACGACGCCGGCAAACGGGTGACATGGAACTCGCTCTTCTCCCCTCGCTGGCTCCCTCTTAGCGCCAGGTCCACCTACAGTGAGATGGGCGCCATGCAGCCAACCCGCACCGACGGGGGCCGGCCAAGGATCATCGTGACGCCGGCCACGTCCAGCTCGGACTTTGCCGGGGTGAGCTTCCAGAAGACGGTGATTGTGATGGCCAGGCAGCAAGGCAAAGTAGTAGTCCGCCACGTCTATAACTTCCACCAAAGCACGGAGGAGGTGGGAGACTTCCTGGCTAGCGCCGACCTGCAGCGTCGCGTGTCCGAGTACCTGATCGACAGCTCCCTCTATCTGCACGTTGTGATAAAACCGCTCTACCATACCCTGCTTGTCGCGAAGAAATAAATCGTAAACGCGCATGCGGTTGTACTTGTGTCGCAGCATACACACATTTTTCATTACTGTGTGCGTTAATAGTCTTCCAGTTATTTACCAAAAGAACAGAAAGGACACACGTTTTATAGTATTTCATTCACAAAACAAAGCAAAAATCCTTGTACTGTATTTTTTCAGGCAATGCATAGTCTAGTAGGTTTTTCTTTTTCCTTGAATGTATTCCTTTTATTGCTTAGTATTTCAATATGACGTCATACCTCTGTATTTTTTTAATATTTATTTTATTGCTAGTCAGGTTGAAAGCCCTTAAGGTGACGTGGAAGAAAAAAAACAACTTCCGGAACGCAAATAGTTGTTTTATTTTCTTCCTTTAAAAATAGGGTTCCCTCGGGGGGAAAAAAACTTATTATATATATATATTTTTTTTTTTTGAGGGAACGCAGACTTTGCGAGGGAATGCAAAACTTTTTTTGTTTTTCTTCCATGTCACCTTAGGGGCTCCGTAGGTTTAGATGTTTAGTTTATAGAATTAATACAAAGTATTAAGTTACATCTACACAGATACGCAATGGAATTTCAATGCGTTTTTGCCTTAATTTTTTTGTTCAGTAGTTTCCATTAATAATAATTGAGAATTGGATTGTTTAGTTTTGCCTCCCCATTTATTGTTGACATCTACATTTAGAAAGATTTAAATGAAGCTCCACCTGTGAGAAAGTTAAAAAAGAAAACAGAATATGAGAGTAAGAGACAACCTGCTTCTACATGCTGAACAAAAGGAGTATTAGGAAAGAAATAGTAATCGTAGAGTTTTGACAAAAAGTTGTGATGTTGCCATAATAAAGTTGTTTAATGACACCAAGTCAGCACTTTGCAATATTCTTCTCATTGTATGATGCGGAAAAACTCAAAGTTGAGTCCAGTTTATGACAGTCTAAATATTAAAACTTATTTTTTGTTATGATTTGGTGGGGCTTGATGATTAAAACACATATTAACAATAGTCAAAATATGAACAACTTTATTCTTATTATATATGGGAGAAATTGTGTTTTAAGAAAAAAAAAAGTATTCCTATCATGGGGGAAAAAAATCCCAAAGAGAATACCAGTTATAATATTACAACTTTATTTTCATTATACCACAGAAAAAATATGTAATTATATGAAAATTAAGTAGTAATGTTATGACAACAAACTCAAAATAGAGTAGTTGCATGATACATTGAATTTGATTAGCAGTATAGGTAATGGATGGTTTGATAGTTGGATGGTTTTTTGGTGAGCCAAAGAACATTTCAGGAATAAAATAATTTAGACAAGATGCATCAGTCGTAAAATTACCTTATTCCAGTAGTATGAGACAAAAAAATTATTAGGAGACCATGATTACATATTGATAATCATAAAGTTGAAATATTACACCTTTGCTTTTGTTACAGTTGTGATCATAAGTTTAAATACCGAGTCATAATTTGGGAAATACTGACAATCTTTAGGAAAAAATATCTTTGTTTCATTAGAATTCCATTTCAAATAAAATTAATTTGTTCTGCTTGATAAATAGCGTGTGTGTGTGTGTGTGTGTGTGTGTGTGTGTGTGTGTGTGTGTGTGTGTGTGTGTGTGCGCGCGC